ATATGTTTACATAGTGGTTTACATACACATGATGTGATAAAATATGTTTGGATCAAAATTTCTTTAACCAAATAATTGTTTCTAAATCTCATCTATATGTAACTAATTATGTATGTGCTTATGTACAAGTCGTGTTATTTAAAAAAAAAAAAAGAATAGTGCAGAAAATCCGCCAAAAAAAGCTGGATAGCCCTTGTGTCCTACCGTTTATCTATGAGTTGAGTGTTTTAACTTATACTTGCGTCATGCTTTACTAACTAACTTTAAAATGCTTCCGAATTATCATTAAACTTTAATACATTGCACCTCATTACTCACTCTTCGTGTTTCATAAATTTTTTAGCTTTAAAATACTTTCGGAGTGGTTATTGAACTTTAACATTGTACATCATGATTCACTCTGCATATTTTATTAGTCACTGAACTTATACCTCCATCACCGTTTATTTACTAAATTTTAAAATACTTTCCAGTGGTAATTGAACTTTATAATTTTTTCGAGTAAAGTTGATTTTCTTTGAGATTTTATCTATATCAAGAAAATAAAATAAAATAAATATTAATTATGTAATGAGACTTTCAATCTTAGACGGAAATATTATTGGCCAAGAAAACATAATTTCTATAGTTGTCAAAAACTATGTTCAAGGAGGAAGAAGAACGCTAGTTTCAAATTGATATAAATCTTAATTTAGATCATAATCTTCCTTTACGTAGAAAAAATAAAATAGAAAATTATTTATTTATTTTGATTGAGATCGTAGACCCAAATTAAGAAAATTATATCTTAAACAGGTAGTGAAACTTTCGATTTAGAGTCAATAATTTTATTTAAGACTAACAAAATATAACTTTTAGATAGTGTCACAAGGTTATTTAACAAAAAGAAGGACAATATCTTCGTGTATGATATTTTATACTTACAATTCTTTAAATTTTTGAACAGATAGAATCAGTGAGTAAAGTTCAATTACCAATCGGAAATATTCTAAAGTTCGGTGAGTAAACCGTAACGGGGTATAAGTTTAATGACTAATAAATGGTAAATGAGTGATGGAGTGCAACATGTTAAATTTCAGTAATCTTAAAAAATATTTTAAAGTTTAGCAACTAATAAAACTTTGCGAGTGAGTAATATAGAGTAATGTGTTAAAGTTCAAAAGTATTTTAAAATTCAATGGGTAAAGCATGACAGATGTATAAATTTAGTGGAAAATGAAGCATTTAACTCGTTAATCTATTTATAATTGGGTATATTTCAGGTTTCGTCCCCAATCTTTCCCAAATGTTTCAGTTTCATCCTTATCTTTGATTTTTCCCAAAGAACATGCCTACCTTTTGAAAATGAGCAGAATTCGTCTCATGGACAAGTTTTGTTGAGTTTTTCCGCTAAATAGCTCATGAGCAGCCGCACAATTGTTTTAAGTTGAGGGTATAATATAAATTTTACTAAACCATTATCAAAAGATAAAATAAGTACAAAGAATTGAAAAGAAAAATAGGATCTTCTTAGGGGTGGCAATCGAGCTGAGCGGCTCGTCGGCTTGTATACACATAGATGAGGTGCCAAGTCTTTAAAGCATTGAATGGGAGGTTACAGCATTGAAGAGCAAACCAACCGGATTAAACTGATGAGAACAAGAAGGGTCTGAGTCTGAAACCGAAGTGTTGCATTGCAACTGATGACCCCGTGAAACTGTTGATCTGATTTTCATTCAATTTCATTCAATATTTCCAACAGGCTAAACCTATTGAGCTGCGACTAATGAACTTCTGAAGTCGAATTACACAAACACTGCGGGTCTTCCAGATGAATCCAATCTGGCGACGTTGAACGTGCAATTATTTCAAAAAAAAAATGATTGGGTTACATATACATAATATGTTTACATAGTGGTTTACATACACGTAATGTGATAAAATATGTTTGGATCAAAATTTCTTTAACCAAATAATTTTTTCTACACTCTTTTGACATCTCATCTATATGTAACTAATTATGAAAGTGCTTATGTACAAGTAGTATTATTTTTTTTTTTAAAAAAGAATAGTGCAGAAAATTTGCCAAAAGAGCTGGATAGCCCTTATGTCCTACCGTTTACCTATGAGTTGAATGTTTTAACTTATACTTGCGTCATGTTTTACTCACTAACTTTAAAATGCTTCCGAATTATCATTAAACTTTAGTACATTGCACCTCATTACTCACTCATCATGTTTTATAATTTTTTTAGCTTTAAAATACTTTCAGAGTGATTACTGAACTTTAACATTGTACATCATGATTCACTCTGCATATTTTATTAGTCACTGAACTTATACCTCAATCACCGTTTATTTACTAAATTTTAAAATACTTTCCAGTGGTAATTGAACTTTATAATTTTTTTCAAGTAAAATTGATTTTCTACGAGATTTATCTATATCTAGAAAATAAAATAAAATTAATATTAATTATATAATGAGACTTTCAATCTTAGACGGAAATATTATTGGCTAAGAAAACATAATTTCTATAGTCGTCAAAAACTATGTTCAAGGAGGAAGAAGAATGCTAGCTTCAAATTGACATAAATCTTAATTTAGACCATAATCTTCCTTTACGTAGAAAAAATAAAATAGAAAATTATTTATTTATTTCGATTGAGATAGTAGACTCAAATCAAGAAAATTATATCTTAAACAGGTAATGAAACTTTCGATTTAGAGTCAATAATTTTATTTAAGACTAACAAAATATAATTTTTAGATAGTGTCACAAGGTTATTTAACAAAAAGAAGGACAATATCTTCGTGTATGATATTTTATACTTACAATTTTTTAAATTTTTGAATAGTTAGAATCAGTGAGTAAAGTTCAATTACCAATCGGAAATATTCTAACGTAAACCGTAACGGGGTATAAGTTTAATGACTAATAAATGGTAAATGAGTGATGGAGTGCAACATGTTAAATTTCAGTGACCAATAAAAAATATTTTAAAGTTCAGTAACTAATATAAACTTTGCGAGTGGGTAATATAGAGTAATGTGTAAAAGTTCAAAAGTATTTTAAAGTTCAATGGGTAAAGCGTGACAGATGTATAAATTTAGTGGAAAATGAAGCATTTAACTCGTTAATCTATTTATAATTGGGTATATTTCAGGTTTCATCCCCAATCTTTCCCAAATGTTTCAGTTTCATCGTTATCTTTGATTTTTCCCAAAGAACATGCCTACCTTTTGAAAATTAGGAGAATTCGTCTCATGGACAGATTTTGTTGAGTTTTGCGGCTAAATAGCTCATGAGCAGCAGCACAATGGTTTTAAGTTGAGGGTATAATATAAATTTTACTAAACCATTATCAAAAGATAAAATAAGTACAAAGAATTGAAAAAGAAAAATAGGATCTTCTTAGGGGTGGCAACCGAGCTGAGCGGCTCGTCGGCTCGTCAAAAGAAGAGCCCGAGCAGAGCCTGCTGGGCTCGTGGTTCGTTTGAGCCAGGCTCGTGGGCTCGTAAAAAATATGAGGAAAAAAACCAACGAGCTCATGGGCTCAGCTCGGCTCGTGAGTTCACGAGCTCGAGAAAAAGCTTGCCGGCTCGGGCCATTGCCATCACTAGATCTTCTTCCACCCGACCCTCGCCCCTCCCCTCCCCTCCCCTCCCCTCCCTTCGCTAAGAACCTGTTTCAACTCTCTTTCTCTCACCTTGCCCACTCTCCATTAAAGAACTTCAACATTCCGTCATTAATGAAATATTCATCTAAAAAAGTCGAACAATGGCATCAATCCCAATTCAAAACAAATTTACATTTTTTTCGTCTATGAAGTAGCTTCAGGAACTCTTTGTATCCAGTGTAATTTTCAACACCCACAATCCCAAAAGTAATGTCTTCAGAAACAGAATTCAAAATTGTACATTCAAAATTTCTTTTCCTCTTTAATGTTCATAATTCAAAGCTGTTAAGTATATCTTGTACATTTATCTGAGCCGATAAATGAGATTAATTATTGTGAATTTTGATGAATTAAGGGTTAGTTATGTATATATTTCGTTTGTTAGAGAAAACTCCATGCAAATTGAAGAAATTCGACAAAAGGAGCAAAAAATGGAGAGAATTCAAAGTTCAGGGATAGAAATACAAATATCCAATAGTGGATTTGGACCATAAAACGATGATCTAAGATCACATATGATAAATTGGATGCAATAAAAAGTGAAATGAGTAAATTATAGTCAAAGTATTTTCACAAATCAATTTTCAATCGTACAAATTATGCTCTAGATTTTCAGCCTCAGATTAAGACCCATTTTCAACATAGAAAATGTTCGAATTGAAAAAAATGAAACTTCTAGAAAAATTATATCCCTTTGAGCTAGCTTTCCAATGCACATTGAATCGTTTCAGTTGGATATTAGGACACAAAGTTATGACAAAAATAATGAAGGTTGATCAGTCCAAGAACTTCGGGTGGCGCACACTCAATGGTCATTTTTTCGATACCGGTAGCAGAATTTATCAACAGCGCGTGTGCAGGGAGGAAGGGAGCGTGGGGGCACATGCCATATTTCAGATGGGCCAATTTTTATTTTTATTTTTTTGATTAAAATTCTTTGAAAACCCAAATTGAACACGATTTTTACCTAATTTTCGACTCTTATAAATGCAAAACTTGGACAAAATATTGGAAATCTCTCTCTAGCCTATCAATACACATCTATATCGTAAAATTCATCAAGAACAAAAAGCCAATTTTCATATTTTGGGATAGAAGATCAAAAATAGAAAGAATTGAAAGTCAATTACATTAAGAAATTGAAGATTTCAACCTTAGAATTGAAGATCAAGTTATAAGTGCAGTTCTTCCCGACGACTCTAGTCTCTGCTGGTAAAACTGACGTCAATTTTAGCAAAGGATGCTATTTGGTAACAGAATTATTAGAAAAATGCATATGACGTTGCAGGTTTTACTGATAAATCTGTCGGTGAAGTTGATTTCTTGTGCATTTAGTTCATGATGGATCTATCAAGCAACAGTCTCACTGGCATGATCCCAAAGTCACTGAAGGCCCTCAAACACCTGACGTATTTCAATCTTTCGTTTAACAAATTAAGGGGAGAAATTCCAAGTGGAATTCCACTTACTTGTCTTTTGTGCCAATGAAGCCATCTGTGGTAAACCTTAACTCTAAGTCTCACCTTGTCAAGGTACTTCTTTGCACAGATCAAGAATAAGAAACTTATGTTGGTTGTACTTATTTCAGTAACAATTGCATTGATAGCATTCATTTTGACCATCGTATGATATGGCTTTCCCCAGAATTCTGTTTGCACCTTTGAGATTGAATCATAGAATTTCTCAATTTTGGCACAAGGTACTTATTAAATCGAATGTACTTATACATCAAGAATCTCTATTCCTGACGTGAACGACCGCGATCCCTTCCCTACTTGACCCCTGGAAAAAAAAATATGGGATTGGTGGGAGATGGGAATTGAGATGGTATTTAGCCCATATTTGTCTCACTTCAAAAAAAAAAAAAAAACTTTTTAATTTTCATACTCATTTTTAACTATACATTTATAAAATAAAATACTTTACACGTAAATCCAAAACTCTTTTCTACTATTTAACAATACATTCTCCAAAAAATCACTATTTAAAACTCCATTTTTTTCAAAATAATGACTATCGAACGGGGACTTAATAATATCTATCGTAGGCACCAAAATCGGACCAAATCATTTGTCGGCTACTGTTCCCTCACAGTTATGGAGTAAGGCTTCTTCCGTTCCAAAAAATGAAAAGTTCGGCACAAAGCCATATGCTTTGGAAGAAGCTTTTACAGTTTGGTCGAAGTAGACAGGGTCGAACTCAAGCTGATTCACAACCTAAATTAATGCTTGAAAGAATTTCATCTCCAATGAGCAACTGATTGGTTCAGCGATAGTAAATTGCTTGGCAGAGGAAGTTGTGGCTCTGTTTTCAAAGGATCTTTTACTGACGGAACACTATTTACCGTAGAAGTGTTCCATTTGCAATTCGAAGGTGCATTCAAGATTTTCGATACAGAATATGCAGTGTTCTGTAGCCTCAATCACAGAAATCTCGCCAAAGTCATCAGCAGTTGTACAAACCATTATTTTAAGGGCTTGGTCCTTGAGTACATGCCTAATGGGAGCCTAGAAACCTGGATTCATTCTGATGTTTATTTCTTGGATATCATTCAGAGATTGAACATTATGACAGATGTGGCTGGCATGTGCAATCGAGTATCTCCACCACAGTTACTCATCACCAGTGGTTCATTGGGATTTGAAGCCTAGCAATGTCTTGCTAGATCAAAACCTATTGGAGTCAAGTCGATTTTTAAAGAAAAAAAGAATACAAATGGCGAAATCGAATGCTACAAGGCAAGGTTGGTAGCTAAAGACTATGATAAAATACAAGACGTTATTATGACGAAGTATTTGCATCCATAGCTCATTTCGAAACAATCAGGATGGTTGTCTCCATGCAGCTCAAAATTGTTGAAAGATTCATCAAAGGGACGTCAAATCACCGATCTAGATTTTCTTCAAGGTGATGTTTACATACCATAGCTCCTTGGATATATTGTGAAATGACATGAAGACAAGGTTTTGAAGTTGAAGAGATCTTTATATGGTTTAAAGCAAGCTTCAAGGGCACGGAATTCGAGAATACATAAATTTCTTCAAGCCAAGGGATTTATCAATGTCCTTATATGTCCTTTATACGAAGATGAATTCTAATGGCGATATCTTTGATTATTTACTTGTATGTGGATGATTCAATTTTTAAAGACAATAATTTAAAATTGTTTAATGAGTTCAAGAGAACTATGGGCTAGTGGCTTACTACATTGGCCTCGAAGTGAAGCAACAAGAAGATGGAAATTTTATTTTTCAAGAAGCTTGTGCTAAGAAGATTCTTGATAGCTTCATGATAGCAAGCTAGTTTGCAGCCCGTTGATTGGGAAATAAAATTATTAAGATTTGATGAAGGTGAAAAAGTTGATTCTATACAAGAGTCTTGTTGAGAGTTGGAGGTACTTGACATGTACAAGACCAAGACCCAATATTTTATTGAGAGCTAGTCTAGCGAGTCGACGGATGGATTATTCTACCATGACATATTAAAGGTCACATAGAGAACCTTGTGCATCATAGGTAACATTTGCTATGACTTTTTTTATTCTTATTTTGATGATTTCAAGCTTGTCCGATATAGGGATTTGGGTCAGTCTTATAAATTATTGAAAGAGCGTAAGTGTTCATGTGTTCTTTATGAGAGTTAGGGGTTTTACTTGGTTTGCGCAAGCAACCTATATTTACTCTTTCAAGTTGTGAAACTAAGTATGTTGTTTCATCGTGTATTTTTCTAGCAATTTGGATTAGAAATTTGTTAAAGTTAGTTTACTTGAAATAAGGTGATCCAATCGAGATTGTCATTGATAACATGTAGCATTATCGTTAGCTAAGAATTATATTTTTCATAATTTGATGAAGAACATCGACATGAAGTATCATTTTGTTCAAGATTGTGTTATCAATCAAACAAATGGCATTAACCAAAATATAAAACAACATTCACAGAAAAAGTATTAGAACTCATTATTTTTGAACCAGCATAATAAATAAATTATACATATGTTTTAGAAAGATCAATACGTTATGCATATACTGTATCCACTCTGACTCAAACTAGCTTTTATAATTTTTATTTATAGAAAATCTAGAAAAAACAAAGACAAAATCACTTGGATAAGTTGTACAACAATCTGTAATAAAAAATTGAAACATTCAACATAGATCATTGGAACTCATACTTTCAAAACTTATTCCCTTTCAATGTTTTTTGTCAATTATGTATTTAAAATAAATAAATAAATTATGAACGAACGAACGAACGAACGAACTAAAACTAATTACTACAATGACTTATAGACACTGCTTAATTCTTGAAGACTGACTTATGACTTTGGCACAATAATTCATCCTTACACATTCAATAATTAGAGCAAACATTTTGTGTAGTCCTTTATAAATATTTGAGTTGAAAATTGTACAGATAATAGTGTCTATGCTAGCTAATCCAGAGCTTGAGGCCAAAGCTAGTTGTCTGTAATTTATGAAGTTCTGAAAGTCATCCAGCAGCCCCAGAAGCAAGTTGCAAATGCAAAGGAGATTACAGGTTTTCCCCCTGAGTCCAGTCTTATACTGGTGAAGCCGATATCTAGTGCATTAAATGAGGTCATTATTGTCGAGGGATAAAATTCCACATTGGTTAAATACGAAAAATAGACCAACTTATAAGAATTTGAGCTACTAATCTTAATAAAGTTGACTTTTTAAAACGGAACACCAAGTTTTAATAATTGCACTTGTTTGGAAAAAAAAAATTCAATCTACTCAGCAATGAGTTAATACATGATAACCACTATCCTTTATATATAATGCTCTTGGCAGACTAGAATCGACAATACAAATAATATATCATCATGGTAAAAATCTGCTTCCTGATTTCTTCAGCAACTTTAATGATGTTATACCTTTTGGCTTGTTTAACCAGGCCGATGACAGGGATAAGTGTCGATGAATCTGCTCTTCACTCTTTAAAGGAGAGTATCTCTATTGAACCCGACCATTTAATAGTAAAGAACTGGTCCATCAATGCATCTGTATGCAGCTGGATTGGAGTCACCTGCAATTCACGCCACCGTAGAGTTGCAGAGTTGGATCTTGCAAACATGGGATTAGTAGGCAGCATTCCTCCACAGTTGGGAAATCTCTCCTTCCTGGTTTACCTTAATCTGAGTAGCAACAGGTTTCACGGCGAGCTTCCAGCAGAGTTAGCTTGCCTGCACAGGTTAAAATTCATGGATTTCAGTATCAACTTACTTTCCGGGAGGGTACCATCAAGTTTAGGTCTTTTGTCAAAACTTCAACAGTTGCGTCTCGCGGAAAATGCTTTTACAGGTGCCATTCCACTTCTCTTTGTAACCTATCAAAGCCAGAGATCCTGAGTAAGGACTTCAGTTTCAAACGTTATCGCAGTTATTAGATAACCTAAATGGTGCAACTGAATTTTTGTTAATTGTTTTCTTTACCTTTTCCTCACGTTGTTGGTAACTTAAAAGAGTTTTGAGCATGAATCAGGTGTTATTCCACAAACAATATGGAAGATTTCAACACTGCAAGCTATAGCCCTCCATATGAACAAATTGTCGGGCAATATTCCAATAGACATATGCCATCATGTTCCAGAACTCGGATGGCTGTCGCTGGCTTTTAACAACATAAATGGGACAATCCCATCCAATATGTCAGGGTGCGCACAACTTCAGATTTTGGCCTTGCAGAACAACTTCTTGACAGGAACCATTCCTAGAGAATTAGGAAATTTGACTACGCTTGAATTATTATATCTGGGCTTCAACAACTTAGAAGGTGTGTATTCAACATTTTGTTGCACTTTCCATATAATATGTAAATTTATAAATATTGCAATTTTATTTTATTGTAATTCTAGATGGCGTTTAATTCCCTCAATATCAAAATGTGAAGAGTACTCATGCATTAGCAAACAATGTGGCAGGACTTATACCACAGGAACTTGAAAATCTTTATGGATTGGAAGTATTAAGTTTGCAAGGTAATAGCTTGAGGGGATCTATTCCAAACAGCCTCTTCAACATCTCGAGATTAAGAAAACTAGTTCTCAACCAGAATTACTTTTCAGGCTCACTTCCATCTAGCATAGGCAATAACATGCCTAATCTGGAAGAACTCTATCTTGACCTAAACACCCTCACTGGAGTTATCCCCAACTCTATCTCAAATTCTTCGAAGGTAACATTGCTAGACCTTTCTGGCAATCAGTTTACTGGTCTAATTCCCAATACACTTGGTAAACTAAGGTTCCTCCAATCTCTCTCCCTCAGTGTGAACAATTTGGAAGCTGATCAAGAGTTGAGCTTCATCTCTTCCTTGATAGGGTGTAGATATCTAAGAGAACTCTCAGTTGGTCGTAATCCTCTTAATGGTATCCTTCCTGCTTCCATTGGGAACATCTCTAATCTTGATTTCTTTGAGGCAGGTTATTGTGGACTTAAGGGTGATATACCAAAACAGATAGGTAATTTGAGCAAATTGATCACACTAAGTTTATCTTACAATGATTTGACTGGATCTATTCCAGTTGAATTAAATGGTTTACAGCAGCTGCAAGGATTATATTTTCAAGTCAACAACATGAGAGGATTAATTCCGACGAGTCTTTGTCATTTGCAAAATTTGGGTGAACTTACATTGAGCTCTAATCATATTGTTGGTGCATTGCCTCAATGCTTAGGCAATCTTACTTCTCTACGTAAAATTCATCTTGGTTTTAACAAACTAACTTCCAGTATACCAGCAAGTCTTTGGAATCTTAACGATATCCTGTATTTCAATCTGGCCTCAAATCTCTTGAAAGGATCCCTACCACCTGAAGTTGCAAATCTAAGTGACGTGGTTGTTTTGGATCTATCGAAGAATCAGTTCTCAGGCTACATTCCAAGTACAATCAGTGAAATGGGAAAGTTGATCAATCTGTCCTTGGCTGATAATAGTTTTAAAGGACCTATTCCTGACTCAATTGGGGAAGTTATAAGTCTAGAAATGCTGGATCTATCCAACAACAGTCTTACTGGCATGATCCCAAAGTCACTTATGGCCCTTCATAGTTTAAGTTATTTCAATGTATCATTTAACAAATTAAGTGGAGAAATTCCAAGTGGAGGACCCTTTGAAAATTTTACTTACCTGTCTTTTATGTCAAATGAAGCCATTTGTGGTAAGCCTCAATTCCATGTTCCACCCTGTGAAGATAGTTCTGTGCACAGATCAAGGAATAAGAAAGTTATGTTGGTTATACTTATTTCAATAACAATTGCATCTATAGCACTCATCTTGGCCATCATACTCGCCTTAAGATACCGAAGTAGGCAGGGTCAACCTCAAGCTGATTCACTACCTAATATAACGCTTGAAAGAATTTCATACTATCAACTCGAACGAGCAACTGATTGGTTTAGTGACAGCAAATTGCTTGGCAGAGGAAGTTTTGGCTCTGTTTTCAAAGGTTCCTTTACTGACGGAACGCTTTTTGCCGTAAAAGTATTTCATTTGCAATTGGAAGGTGCATTCAAGAGTTTCGAAACAGAATGTGCGGTGTTCCGTAGCCTCCGTCACAGAAATCTGACCAAAGTCATTAGCAGTTGTTCGAACCTTGATTTTAAGGCCTTGGTCATTGAGTACATGCCTAATGGGAACCTAGAAAAGTGGATTTATTCCGATGGGCATTTCTTGGATATCATTCAGAGATTAAACATTATGATAGATGTGGCATGTGCAGTCGAGTATCTCCACCATGGTTACTCACCACCGGTGGTTCACTGTGATTTGAAGCCTAGCAATATCTTGCTAGATCAAGATATGGTTGGACGTGTTAGCGACTTTGGCATAGCAAAATTGTTAGGAGAGGAAGAAACTATTAGGCATACAACTACCCTGGCTACTCTTGGTTATATTTCACCAGGTGAATCTTCTGACTCGCAATATTCTCCAGAAAGTAATTGATTGATCTTTTTCATGTAAATAACTTGATTAAATGATGTATTGTTTGCAGAATATGGAGCCGAGGGGCTAGTTTCGACAAGCTGTGATGTTTATAGTTATGGCATTATATTGATGGAAACTTTTACATGTAGGCGGCCGACTGATGAAATGTTTTCTGAAGATTCAAGCTTGAGGAAATGGGTAGCAAATTGTGTTCCAGATGCAATAGATCGGATCTTAGATACCAAGCTAATAAGTCAAGATGAAAGACACTTGAATGAAAAGCTAATGTGCATATCATCACTTATGAACATGGCCGTGAATTGTGCGGCAGAATCTCCTCAACACAGGCCAAGCATGAAAGATGTGGTAATATCATTGAAGAAGATTAAAGTCCAGCTCCTGGCACATTGTCAGCAAACCTGAGATTCCTTGGGGAGCATTATCAAATTTCGATGTTTTTGACAATTTAGCCTATTCAAATAGGAAGGAGAAATGTTATATTTTCATGTAAACCAATTAACTGAACATTTTAACAGATCAAATAGATAAGTAGAATAAGGAAGTGATGTATCTCATTAGATTTGTGTTGTACTATAAGTTCATGTCTACTTAGATTTCCATTTTAAATTCCAACTATAATACGTGTTACAGGTATATATTCAAATGTAAAAATTCATTGGAGTAGTCATTGATTCTTTGGATACATTATCAACAAGTGATATTGTTGGTTCAGCAATTGCTCATAATCGTTTGATTTTTGTCCAAGTGCACGCCGGTTGTTTTCCCTGCCTTTTTATGGTAAAGATTGGACAATTGTAAACCCTATGTAAAAATCTTCGAGCATTGGAATGGATTGCAATCTAGAGTATTCCGATTGTTGAAGTATGACCCAAATTCTGTTGGGTATTGGTGTTTTGGTTGAAGAGGTCAAATCACAGAATAAGGAGAAAAAGTTGGAGTATTTTCGCTAGCTGTCCTTCCAGCTCTCGCTTGAGCCCTCGAAACAGGAGCGCGCATACTCACTTGGTTCTCGGTTGCCGTTCGACCAACAATTCGTTTCGGCTGAAACCCGTTTCACATTTTAATACGTTTTTAGCACTCCAATCATTCTAAAACTCTATGTTTAGGGATATGGACCATGACTTGTAAACATAATATAACATTCATAGAGTTTTGAGAGAGCTTTAGATCTTGATTGATAGTATTGGGATCTTGTGTAAACAATATTCATTATTGATTATAGTGAAATACTTCTTTGCCTGTGGTTTTTTCCCAACTTAAGTTTTCACGTAAAATCTTAGTGTTCTTGTGTTTGTTTGTTTTACTTCATCTTGTCAATTATCTTGTTGATTTCATAACAAACGGTATTGGAGCAAGGTTAATATTATGTATGGCAATGATGAAATATGACATCTTGTTATTGGATCCAACACGAGATTTTCTCTATGACAAGTGAAGATGCGCGTTGTTCTTGCGCAGATGGATTTGGATGATGCCTTGTTAGGCTTTGAAAAAATGCCTTCAACTTGAATGCAATACGAAAAATAGTGTAGGGATCAGAAAGTCGTGTCGCAAATTCATCTCCATCTATCAAATCACATATTTCAGGATGTTTTAAAAGAGAAGAGCGTCGTTGTATTGTGGTTGAAATTGGAGCAGCTTTGAATGACAAAGAGTTTGATCAATGAGTTAACTTGAAATAGTGTTTATATTCTCACTGGATGTTTGAAGGTACGTCAACTGATGATCACCTATCTACGTTTAAAGAAATTGTTGCAGATTTAGAAGCATTAGAAGTTAAGTATGATGAGGAGGATCTTGTATTGACTTTTTATGTTCATTGCCACCTTCGTATTCCAATTTTAGAGATACTATCATCTATAGTTATGATACTCTCAGTGTGGATAAAGTCTATAATGCTTTATTATCAAAGGAAAAGATAAAACATCTTATAATTAGATTTGAAGTTAGACTAAGGGCCTGGTTGTTCGTGAGAGGAACCAAGATAAGAATTTTGGTAGAAATATGAAAGAGGGATCGAAGTCCACATATACAGAGAAGGTATGCCACTTTTGTAAAAAGAAATGACACATTAGAGCTGATGCTTTAAATTCAATAAGGCAAATAGAATGGCTGTTGTTACTACGAATAATGGAAAACAATCTGAAAGTAAAGGAGAAGTCGATATTGTGGATGATGGGCAAAGTGAAGAAGAATTTTTTGAGATTTCTGATAGTGGTTCCAAACCTTATGAGGATTGGGTTCTTAACTCAACTTGTACGTTTCATATGTATCCCCAAAAGGATTGGTTTACAACATATGAAGGAGTTTCGAAAGATGTTGTGATTATAGGAAACAACGAACCTTATAATATAGCTGGAGTTGGTATAGTTAGGATCAAAATGTTTGATAGAGCTATCAGGACAAAGGCACGTTCCAAAATTGGAGATGAACCTCATATCTTTGAGTGCCCTTAATTTAAAAGGGTATAGATAGACTAGTGAAGGTGGAGTTTGGATGAGCAGAGGTGTTTTTATTGTCATAAAGGAATATAAATGTTCTGCATAGTTGTACATTTTGTAGGTTTCTACAATTATAGGGGATGTGGCAGTTATTGCTTCTTCCTTAGCAGATGAAGAAGTTACAAAACTTTGATATATGCAATTTGGGCATATGAGGGAGAATGCAATAGCAAAATTGAGTAGAAGAGGACTTCTTGATGGGCAAAGGACCCGTGAATTGAAGTTCTGTGAACATTGTATCTTTGAAAAAAAAAAAAAAAAAGTTAGAGTCACCAAAGGCAGACACAATAGGAAGGGAACACTTGAGTATATCCATTCAAATATTTGGACATCGACAATGGTGTTTTCTAAAGAATTTACTTATTTCTTGTTGATAATGATCGGTGTTTTCTCCAGAATGACTTAGGTATTCTTTTTAAAACAAAAGAGTGATGCATTTGCAACCTTTACAGAATGGAAAACAATGATTAAGAAGTAGGTAAAACATCTAAGCACAGATCATGGGTTATAATTTTGTTAAGATGAATTCAATAACTTTTGCAAGTCGTAAGGGATCTTGAGACACTTGATAGTGTTAGAGACTTTGCAACAAACGATGTGACAAAACAGATGAATAAAACCTTAATAGAAAAGGTTCACTGTATGCTTTTGAATATTGGGTTGCCTAAGACTTTTTGGTTAAAGCTGCTACTACAGCTTGTTTTCTTATTAATCGTTCATTCTCAATTGCCATTGAAAAAAAAAATAGAAGGGTTCTAGTTTGGAAGTCTTTGTAGTTATTCTAATTTAAAAATATTTAGGTACAGAAAGTTGGAGTCAATGTCTAGAAAATGCATATTTCTTGGGTATAAATCAAGTGTGAAGAGTTATAAACTATGGTGTCCAGAAATAGGAAATGTGATAGTTAGTAGAGATCTAGTATTTGATGAACTTGCAATAGTTCAAAATTTTCCTCTTGAAAATTCTGATAAAACTGAGCAATAAAATCAAAATACTCGGGTGGAGTTGAAAATTAGTTCAGAAGAGAACATGAGTTTTAGATCAGTCTAGTTCAAAGTTGAAGTAGAGCAACATTTTGCCTAATTTGCCTTCACCACCAATAACACCACATTATTCTATAGCAACGGATATACCTCGTAGAGATATTAGACCTCCATAGAAGTATGGAGAGGTAGACTTGGTAGTTTATACATTAGTTGTGGCTGACAATATTTATTCCACCGAAGAGCTAGCGCAATCAATTGTAATGATTCTAGCAGATGATTGATTGCTATGCGGGAAAAGATGTAGTCACTAAATAAAAATAGTACATGAGACTTGGTGAAATTATCTAAGGAAAAGAAGATTGTTTGCTACTGTTGGGTATAAGGTACATTAGGAACTAGCATCGATATAAGGTCAGATTGGTGGCAAAGGTTTACAGTTAGATTCCAAGTGTTGATTTTACAGATGTGTTCTCCCCATTGTAAATCGTAGCTCAATTCGAGTTTTGTTTCTCAAACTCATTTTGAATGATACGTTCACACAATAAAATATTTTTATGTAAATTAAAATTTTCTAGTTTTTGACATTACATTATCCAAAAAATTATTATTTCAAAAATCATTTTCCCCTATAAACTTTTTTTAAAAAGGATACTAACATAGGCATAATTTGGCAATGGAATTTTGGGGAGCTATTCGGAGAGTCACAAGGGAAATTATGAGTCTCATAAAGGAAAAACAATTGATTCGTTTATTTAAATTACAATCGATCTATATGTTGATAGTAATCCAAGACATTTCTTTTAATATCCGTAAATTTCACTTAAAGATTAAGAAAAAAATCAAATTATTTAAAGATTTTTGAGAATAAGAGTAGTCCCACTCTTTTAAGCAATAAGCACCCTATTCAGACCTTCACTTTAGACGTGGTGGAAGCAGTCGCAGAAAAAAATTTCAGACAGATCTTTGACACGGCTCAAAACAGTGGATATGCAACTCTATGGGGAGCATGGATTATTTTGTTGTAAATTCTTTCGAGCTTAGTCTCGTTATAGTAGGTATGTCGTTTAAGCTCATCGAGGTTCTCCTTTGGTTCTGGAATTCGAGGTACAAATTTGGAGAACGTCTATGTATTCACTTGCAGGTCGGATTCATTTTGGATCGAAAATTTTAACAGTTGAATCTAAAGAAAAATTGAAACTGAACAAGATTTTCTAAAAATTGATTTCTCTTTTCAANTTTCCATTTTCCATGGAAAATAAGTCCTATCAAACGGGGCCTTATAGACTTTGTTACAGTAGAACATAATACAAAAAATGGAAGGGCAAGATTTGAATCAATCAATCCTTATTTTTGTGCTGTCACTTGCCGTGAATGAAGGCGATAACTGCTCTTGTTTTGACTTACCATTTTGACATGATTGAGTCTCAATACAACCCCTTGAATTACTCTCATGATCTGCTATATTAGGAATAACAACCATGACATGATCAGATTCCTTATTACTCCATTTATCACCCTCATCTCTCCAGACTTTATCTCTACAGCTGGTTGACTGAAGATGGTTGTTGTAAGTGTGATCTTGCTTAATAGAATCAACACCAAACAACTGATGTTCTTTTATATGTACAAGTAGTTTTCCAATGTTATGGATCTTAAATCAGTACTTCATTTGTAAAGAAGGGCTGGGTTTCATGGTTCTTGAGTGAACTACTTCAGAGAGTAGATAAAAAGGGAGATTTAGGGTTCTTGTAAGTTATTCGAGGCAAACACCGTTTAATCTTGTAAACATCTTCATATTGTACTGAGTGCCGGAAAGTGTTCTAGTTGTTAGATTCTCAAATAGGGGAGTAGGCCGAACTTCGATCAAACAACTTCAGTTTTCATTTGTTCTTGCTATTTGTGCATCGTTCAATGA